TGAAGTGGGACAGCCAAAAAATTGCCTAATTTTAATTAGCTATAATATAACTACGGTGTCGTTTATCAGATTTTGAAAAACTTTATATCGATTAAAAGAAAATTGATTGTTTAGTAAAATATTTCAAAATAGTTCTGATTCAGTTGTTTAAAAGAGCACTAGGTGGCGTTGTTTAAGCAGTAACCATTTTTTTGAAGTTTTCTTGTAAAATTTAAATGGAATGTTATAATTTTTATACGTTATTTAGAAAGAGAATTAAATTCTGACAAGAAACAAAAAAAAAAACCGCGTCTTATTATCTTTTTCCTAACCGAATATAAGCAAAAGTCTATTAATGGTGAATAGTCCACTTAAATATTAATAAATAATTGGCTTTGAAACGTCAGTAATTTTTCGATAGCTTAACTGTAAAGCGATTAAGACAAAAAATATTAAAATCGGATTTAAATTAACTCTTTAGTGTAAGTTTACTGGTTTAATAAAACTAATTGCGAAATAAAAATTGAATATATTAATAAAATACAACAAAACAAGTAACTAAACACAGAACAAAATAGAGAATGCAATACAAGAATTAGAGGTAGTGCTCGAATTGTTTTCCATCTTTTTCAATGCAAATATCAAGTCTCTGTCTAGTTGAATTGACAGCAGCTTCTATTTCAGCCCTAGGAATATGATCAATTTCAGTTTGTATTCGTTGAATTAGATCTTCTCTACTTACAGGCTGAGTTTGGTAAACTAAATCTTTAAGTCAACCCCACAAATAAAAATCTAATACGGTGAGGTCGGGAGATCTTGGTGGCCATGGAAATAGACTACCTCTTCCAATCCACCTATTCCGAAAATGTTGATTTAAAAAGTCGTTTACATTATTTGTATAATGTGCTGGGCAGTCATCCTGCTGTATCCACATATTACGGCGTACATCTAGTGAAATATTTTCTAATAAAATAGGCAATTCGTCTCTCAGTAATCTTAAATATCGCTCACCATTTAAATTTTCATGAATAATAATAGGACCTATAATTTTACCGTCTAAAATTCCACACCACACATTTACTGACCACCGACCTTGATTAAAAACTTCTCGCATCCAATGAGGATTGTGGTCAGACCAGTAATGCATATTATGCCTGTTTACAGATCCATTACTGGAAAATGTAGATTCGTCGGACCACATTATATGTGATAAAAATTGTGGATCCTCATTAAGCATATTCTTAAGCCAATTACAATAATCCAGTCTTTTATCATAATCTGTTAATTTCAGACCTTGATGAAGGGATACATGGTATGGATGGAGACGATTTTGTTTTAAAATAGAACAAACGCAGTACCTAGTAAGTCCTAAGTCGGAAGCACTTCTCCGTATACTTATATGTGGATTTCCAGCAACGTATGCTAATATATTTATTTCGTTAATTTCCGTTCTGCTTCTTCTACGTCGTTGAATAGCTTTTTTAGGTTGAACACAGCCAGTTTCTTTTAAACGAATCGCCAGATTTTTAAATGTTTCTCTTGTTTGTAAAACTCGGTGAGGATATCTCAACGCATATTCTCTGGATGCAATCGGGGCATTCTCAAAACATTCAAAATATACTTTTAACATGTCATAAGCTTCGGAATTTACTGTAAGGCATGATGTCTTTTAACTTATTAAAATATAATTAATTTGACATTTAAGCTTACTGACATTTCAAACACAACTTGATTAATATATCAATAACTTTATTTATTAATATTTAAGTGGACTATTCACCCTTAAGCCTTGGTTTCTTTGAACACTCCGTCGCGGTGAGCGGGCAGTCCGTGGACCGTCGCGTTTAGACGATTTTATCTAACCAGAGTATTTAAATGGGAACGGTTTTCTTGAATCCGCTTAGCTGAGCAGGACGGCGTCATGCCGCTGATTTGTCGCGACTAGTCGGTTCATATCTGTTGAGTTTGATATCAGCGGAATCGTCGGCGTGTGCGGAAACAGTTTGTGAATACAAATAATTATATTGTTATTATTTTTAAAACAATGAGTGACAAATTGACACATATGACTTTATTTGTAGGTTTCTTGGAAATGTCGCCCTTTAAAAAACTCAACGCGAATTCAAAAAGATCTGTAGGAAGTCTAAAATACTTCCTAAATTTAGTTTAATTTCCAAAAAGCCTCCGCTGCACAGTGATATTAAAGGCACCTTCTGTATCGCGACACAAAAACAACTTATCCACTGGCCTATTGGAATTTTTGACGGTTGCAATTGCCAGTTCCTCTCTTATTCTTCGTCTTCCAACAATAATGACAACGCAAACAATTTATTTGCGTTCATTTTGGTACATTTCGTTTACACTCATATTACATAAACAGAACATACAGACATAGAGAAGGTCTCATTTTCTATATTTAACAAACCACCTCGGGCGAAAATCGCTGTCGACGGACTGTCCACTCACCGCGACACAGTGTTCAAAGAAACCAAAGCTTTAATAGACTTTTGCTTATATTCGGTTAGGAAAAAGATAAAAAGACGCGGTTTTTTTTGTTTCTTGTCAGAATTTAATTCTCTTTCTAAATAACGTAAATTATAACATTCCATTTAAATTTTTCAAGAAAACTTCAAAAAAATGGTTATTGCTTATACAACGCCACCTAGTGCTCTTTTAAACAACTGAATCAGAACTATTTTGAAATATTTTACTAAACAATCAATTTGTTTTAATCGATACAAAGTTTTTTAAAATCTGATAAACGACACCGTAGTTATAATACATTTATTAAATTAAGGTTCCCAATCGCCCCTACCTGTTATTTTATTGAATAGAGCAAAAAGTGTTGAATAAAACTTTTGTAAAATTTAATCAAAATTACCGTTCGATTATTATTATCATACTATTATTAGACATTTATAAGGGAAAAGTGATTTTTTTGTATTACCATAGCGAATTACGCCCTCTAACGGTTAAAATAGAAAGTTCAAAATAATTTCCAGCATTTGCTCTTGACCGTTTTTGTTATAAAATTTTTTTTTTTCGAAGCCGTAGGATCAATAGTTTCTGAGATACAGCTGCTACGAGTCCTTAATCAGACACACCCTGTACATAGTGTGAATGTAAGACATCGAAAAATGTCCTTTTTATGGAAAAGAATTTGGAAAATGTGGGGGCCAAATCAAGTTCTTTCTGACGTTGAGTGGATCACTAGATAGACACATCAAAATATTTTTGCCATTTTTTTTGATACTTTGCGTTGATATGGAAATATCGCCTTTTTATGAAATTACGTTTTTCTTTTTAAATTAGCCTTTTTTTAATTTAAGAATAACAGATAAAAACTGCATTAAGGAATAACGTGTAAAGAAAATGATCAATACCAGGTGTGTGCCAAAAGGGGTTTATGAAATTTAAAAAACGAAAACTTGATTTAATTTGAAATTTTCAACACGTTTGTTAAGGTGATTACAGCACTCCCTTAAAATTTTCGGACAAGGATATCTCAAAAACCGATTTTTTTTAAAAATTAAAAATTTGGCAAAATATATTAGGCAATAATATCTAGAATATATATACATATAGGTTAAAGTTTTAATTCCTTCCAGTTTCCGAGAAAAAAAAATGAAAGGGCGTTAAATTTTGAAATATCATAATAAAAATAAATGCATTCCTCAACAGCACTATTTTTAATATAATTCCTAAATTTAAGCTCTTAATCTTTTGTTAATGATTTTTTAAAATTCGCCGAAATTAGTGGCTAAAACGCCTGGTTAAGTGCTATTTTCTGGTTTAAACTGGTGTAAACTGGTTTAAATCGTTGCAAGGACCGAATGTACGATACGATAGTTACAGACGCGTTACACTAGAAAAAAGCACTTAATGAGGCGTTTTAGTCACTAATTTCGGCGAATTTTAAAAAATCAATAACAAAAGATTAAGAGCTTAAATTTGGGGATTATAATAAGAATACTGCTGTTGAGGAATGCATTTATTTTCATTATGATATTTCAAAATTTAAATCCCTTTGATTTTTTTTCTCGGAAACTGGAAGGAATTAAAACTTTAAAAAATATGCATATTCTAGATATTGTTGCCTAATTTATTTGGCACAAATTTAAATTTTCTAAAAAAATTACTTTTTGAGATATTCTTGTCCGAAAATTATAAGGGGGTGCTGTAATCACCTTAAGCGTTAGAGTTTAAAAGGTGCCATAACTATAATGAGCTTATTTATAGAGTTGACAAGGGGTGAGATTACAGAACGTCTGCAACTTTGCAGATCTGCAAATATGGCGGCAACTTTGAAAATCTGCAAATATGACTGACTTACACATGCAAGTATCAAGTTTTCGTATTCCAAATTTGGGTTTAGTGTTGTTGGGGGTAATAAACCACAATAAATATTGCGAATTTGCAGATATTTTTTGGAATACTTGCATTTGTAAGTCCGCCATATTTGCAGATCTGCAAAGTTGCAGTTCTGCAAAGTTTTAGAATCTTTGGTAACTCAAGTGGGTTTATTTATGAGACAAAAATATAAGACAACAAGAAGGGATTGAAAAAAAATATTTTACGCCATTGACGCAAACAACAAGGATGGCGCTTTGCACCTCTGGCTGAAAATTTTTTGGCTGTCCCACTTCATCTATGGCATAGTCAAGGGGGATATATATGGGGGTAATTACCTCCAAGAATTTTTAAACCTAATTTTTTATAGGTATTAAAACGTACTATTATCAAAAATCAAGTCTTACATATTACCAGTAACCCCCAGACTTAAAATTCATTACCACTATCACCCAGACTTAAACTCTAGATACACCACTGGCGTAGTTTATATCGGTACGTACGAAATGCACTATTTGTATTTTAACTAACGACCTATATACATTACAATATTTAAATGTACTACTAACAAAACAAAATTTACCGTTTATACATGCTTAGCTAAAACTAAAATATAAAATCTAAAACATTTACTAGCAACCTAGAAAACAAAACAAAAATGTCATGCTTACCGATCTATCAGTAAGTGGAATCTCAGAACTAACAAGTTTATTAATAAAAGCTTGTTTTCTGTCTTCTACTGAAACGTCGTTACTATCACTTTTACTAGTTATATCGAGTGGTTCGACAAGTGGCAGAGTCTAAAAGTTAAAAAACAAAAAGAAAACAAAAATAAGGCCAAACAGGCACCATAAAAAAATGAAAAAATTGGAGCAAAGCTATCAAATTGTCTTTAAGCAGACTTTTAATAATAATAAGTTGATATATTTTCATATACTTTTTATCAATGATATTTAGGGAACAATGCCTATTGAAAAATATATAGACGTTACTGTTTGTATCCAAATTTCGTCATTAATAAGATGTAGAGAAATAATTGTTGCTTAACACTATAATATATTTTACTTAACAGAGTCGTTGCAACCACATGTTCAGGTCGTGCGGCGCACGATGACGCCATCACGCAAAAGGCGTCGAAGATATTTTCTTATTTTTACCAAGATTAATCACAAGTAGGTAATAATATATATAAATAAATAATTTATAAAATGTATTATTAGATTAGTTATAGAGTCAAACAGGACTTCTTTAAGTTGGTTTGCCCTGGCCTACTGCGTATTTTATTCTATCACTAAGCGCCCTTAATATATTTCCTAGTTCCTGTTTTTCACAACTTTATTCTTGTCTGGCCAGACGACTCGTCTGGCCTCTAGTGATAACACTGCAGTTAATAAGAATTCATGTTTAGGTTTTTGCCTTGAGAAGTAGAGAAAATCAGTTAAAAAAAATATATCTATTTGAAATTTTGTTCTTTTTTTGGAAGCTGAAAGTGTTAGTTCTATTAAATTGCCCGAGATATAAGATAATATAAAGTATAAGAAAGTTGAGGTAAGTAATATTATGTAGATCAATGGTCGCCAACCTCTCAATGTGTTGAGCTACTTTGTTAATTTTGGAATAAACAGCGAGCTACCCACACGGAAGCCACGTAACGCAACGTAAATGAAATAATCCACAGTTAATTTATCATTATACAGGGTTGGGCATAATTGGCGGAACACCCGATTTGTGGCTCAATTATGGATTGTATTGAAAATTAACCCAAATAAAGTTTTTTGTATATTTTATGTACTATTTAATGACGCTTGGGGATTTTCATTATCTGTCATATTTATCAAGATATGACGTCATCGGATGAAATTTTAAATGAATCACCCTATATTTATATTTTTTTTCAGATAGATCTTTTCTTTCTGAATCCATTAATGTAAGGTTTGAGGGTCTCCGAGTTCATAACAAAGTAGAAAGTAAACATTTATTTAATAAAAAATAATAATTATTATCAATCGAAGTATTACAAATCTCTCAAAGTAAGTGTTCGAAGTGAAAGCCTCCAACTGCCTGACAATATCCTAGTCTATCAACAAATGATCTTAAGGCATTTTGATAAACTGCAGGTGTTATTTCTTGAACAGCAATTCTTATTTTGTATTCCAATTCTTCCAGCGAATGTGGCAGGTCCTTATAAACTACTGATTTCAAATGGCCCCAAAGAAAAAAATCCAGTGGGGTTAAATCCGGTGACCGTGCCGGCCACTCAATATGTCCTCTTCGACCCACCCATCTCTGTGGAAATATTGTGTTCAGGTACTGCCTCACTCTAGCATCGAAATGAGGTGGAGCACCATCTTGCTGGAACCAAATTTCATCAGAAAGTTGTAAGTGATTTCTGTGATTTGGATATAAACGAACTAACTCTGGAACTATCTGCTCTTGAAGTAGTTGCAAATAACGATCACCGTTCAGAGTTCCTCTCATGAAGAATGGTCCAATAATTCTTCCTCTAACTATACCAGCCCAAACATTTAACTTTTGTGGATATTGGGTGTGACCTTCTTCCATCCAGTGAGGATTATGATCAGACCAATACCGGCAATTATGTTTATTTACAAATCCATTGAGACAAAATGTTGATTCGTCGGAAAAAACAATGCTGTTCATCAACATATTATTTCCATTAATGGCATCCATCATTACCTGGCAGAATTGCATTCGCCTATCTGGGTCATCTTCATTCAATTCCTGGTGTAATTGCACTTTATAGGGATGAAATTTATTGACTTTCAGAATCCTCCTTACAGATCTCTCGCTCATATTATTGTCTAACGCAAGCTTTGGAACTGAATTTTTTGGTTCTTCCTGTACACTTAGAACCACATTAAGTGCATTTTCTTCATCAGTGGCTGTCTTCTTCCGTCCAGATCTGGGATTATTTTTCACACTTCCTGTTTCATTAAACTTGCTCAAATTTCTGGATACTGTAGATTTAGAAATCGGGGAAATCCTGTCAGGAAATGTTTCATTGAACAAATTACAAGCTTCTTGCAGAGATCTCTTTCTGTCTCCAAACCCAATAATCATCAATAGTGTAATTCTTTCACGTTCACTCAGTTCAACCATGGTTTAAATTAATAAAAATTCTCAATAGTATCAAATGCTAAGAGTTATTTATTTTCGCGTATTGGGCTAGTTTGGGTGAAATGAATTGACTTGCAATTAAACTCAACTTGTTTGATTGTCTCCATAAACCAGAATGAATTAAAATCTACAGATTAATAAAAGGTGACAATAGTTTTTATAATATTATAAAAACCAAGTAAACAGTAACACAAAAACATTGGTAGGTATTTCTGTCAGAGATGTACAATAATCGTATTAATAAAACTCAGTGATTAATATCGAGATGTCAATATTACATTTTAATGTCAAAAAGTGAAACCATGGCAAAACAATTGATATTGGTACATTATGATGGCACAGACAACTTTGTGAATAGTTATTCATTAATTATTTAAAAGAACGTTTACCATTTTGTTTTATTATTTTCTGATGATAAGGAAAATCAGAGACCACCCGAACCCCATATTGATGGATTCAGAAAGAAAAGATCTATCTGAAAAAAAATATAAATATAGGGTGATTCATTTAAAATTTCATCCGATGACGTCATATCTTTTTAAATATGACAGATAATGAAAATCCCCAAGCGTCATTAAATAGTACATAAAATATACAAAAAACTTTATTTGGGTTAATTTTCAATACAATCCATAATTGAGCCACAAATCGGGTGTTCCGCCAATTATGCCCAACCCTGTATGTATTTATTTTACTATTTAACTGGTAATACATAATACATAGGTACTAATAATAAACTAATAACAAAATAACTAATATTACTAGTACGTACTTGTTCATAGCTACATTCATACCTACCAAACGAAGGTGTTTGAAAAATAAACACAAACTTTAATCCAGCCACAACGGCATGTCACGTAAGATTTAAAAATAGTTAATAATAACAACAAAAAAGTAACGCACTATCATGAACATAAACATTGAAAAATAAAAAAGCACGTTCAATGAGAAGGCTGACACTCAGACTCATCGATAATTTTTTTAATGTTTGCAGTATAATTTGATACAGCCATTCGAATACAATTATCCAAATGTTCATCTGTAAGTCGATTGCGATATTTGTTCTTAATAAACTTCATATTGGAAAAAGAAGATTCACACAAATAGGTTGAACTGAACAATGCTTTCACTTTCAAGGCAACACGGCATAGAACTGAATATTTGTCTTTACTTACAATAGGCCAGATACATTTAGTACTTGAGACTAACGATTTTAAGGCTAAGGGTGAGATTACAGAACGTCTGCAACTTTGCAGATCTGCAAATATGGCGGACTTACAAATGCAAGTATGGCTCACATAACATTAATAACGCGTTATTTTTTTGCCTATCTTAGATGGCAAGATGAAACAGAAGTAAAGGTCTGCTTTCTAACTTCCAAAACTAAAGTGGCTCCTTTACGAACACAGTCAGTGCCAAGACAGGAACTTCAAGCTGCCTTGATGGGAGCTCGATTGGGACATTTTATAAAAAATAATTTAGACTTGAAATTAAATTCAGTATTTTTTTTTGGACAGATTCAAAGACCGTACTTCATTGGATTCGATCAGAAGCACGACGCTTTAAGATGTTTGTAGCTCACCGACTAGGTGAAATCCAGGAGCTATCAAACACTTCGGAGTGGAGGTACGTTGAATCCAAATCAAACGTCGCTGATGAAGCTACGAAATATTTTAAAACTATTGACTTTTCCTCAAAAAGTAGGTGGCTTAATGGTCCATTGTTTTTGTTAGAACATTCAGAAAACTGGCCTTTGGAAAACGATGACAAGGTAAATGTTGAAGAAATCGAAGAACGGAAAGAATTTACGTTCCTGCTAAAAACTAGAGATACGTTAATTCTCCCTGATCCTAAAAGATTTTCAAAATGGTTAAGACTTTTAAGGTCTACTGCAGGGTTACTAAGATATTTTTGGAATTGCAAAAACAAGGAGCATAGAAGAGATCATGAACTCACTTGTGAAGAGATTAAGAATGCTGAAACATTATTGCTAAGAAAGGTGCAAGTGGACTGTTTTTCAGAAGAAATTTGTTTTCTTTCACAAGAAAAAGAGTTGCTTACTAGCTCTAGATAATATACTTTAAATTGTACACTTGATAAATCTGAATGTCTAATTCGACTAGGTGGAAGATTAGAAAAATCTACACAATTAGACAGCAACATTAAACATCCAATTGTTTTAAATCCTAAACATGACTTAACTACTTTGCTAATTCATTATCATCATGAAGAGGTGAACCACCATGGACAAGAGACTGTAGTTAATAATTTAAGGCAAAAATATTGGATTATGCAAATGAGACAAGCAGTCAGAAGCTGTTGGGCCAAATGTCAGAAATGTAAGAACAGGACAGCTTTACCTAAGCTACCTTTAATGGGACAGTTGCCACCTTGTCGTCTTGAACCAACAATTCGACCCTTTATAAATACTGGAGTAGATTACTTTGGTCCATTAGAAGTTGTAGTTAAAAGGAGCAGAGAAAAAAGCGTTATGGAGTTATCTTCACCTGCATGGTAACTCGAGCGATTCACTTAGAAATTGCTCATGATTTAAGTACTGATGGATTCATGCATGTATTCCGACAATTTGGAGCAAGACGCGAATTTCCTGAAACAGTGTTTAGCGACAGTGGTTCAAATTTTAAGGGTGCAGAACGAGAGC